TTTGTACCAACTTGTACTCTAAATTTAACTGCTACAGATTGTTTATATCTTGCTTAGTTTTCAAAATATTTCGACTGAAAAAAGTGAGCTGTTCGCCATCTTGGATTATTGAGGATATGCATGTTACGTCAAGAGAGGGTCAACGCTAATTTTTTATCTTGAGAGTAAGCGATCATCATGGGTCCAATACTTTGTTTCTGGTTGTTGTTTGAAATTTAGAAATGATTGATTAAAAAAGTTTCAAACAATTCTGGATTGTTACTCGGTCATTTTGAGTCGTTTTATATGATTTGGTTAACCCAACTCCTGACGTCATCAAAGCCATAGTTAATGAGGTCAAGAATTAGTCCAAGATAGCGGACAGCTCATTAATTTCGGTCTAAATATTTCGAGAACTAAAGCAAGATTTGACAAATCGGTAATAGAGGTTAATACGTAATTTTTAAGAGTTCTTTTGAATGAGACAAACTAATTTTTTATTCCCAATGTCATTCAACTGTACTGTACTCTAAATTTAACTGTACTGCACAGCACTCTACATTTAACTGTATTGTAGGATACATTTCTATAACTTTAGCAACAAAGTCTTTGGATGTGATGTACCATCCATGCATGGTGAGGAGGACAATGGTAATGGATGGTGGTGACACAATGCACCCATTTTCATCTAGAAAATATTCAAATGTACAACTAGAAATGCAATCACAAACCGTCTGTGCCAGTGTGGGTAGTGGCAACAATAAGAAAGCTTTGGATTCAACCAGGGACGCTGGAACAATGTGAAGGCAAGGGGGGCAGAATTTTGTGAAAAGGCACTTTTGAATTGATATATACTAAAAGATGTTTACAAAACATTGGGAGTTGAACTTCGTCTAATCATGTTCTCTATTTATTGGATGATAGGGGTGTGAGGGGCTTCTCCGCCAGGCAATTGTGCTATAACTGCCATTCTTGAAGCTCGATTACTGCATTTCTTACGTTTTCTGAAGCAAATTCGTAAAAGAATTGCACTAACATTTCTGACAATTCGCTATTTCGCCAAGGCAATCTTTTAAATTGAAAGGGCACCTTTGCCCCCCTTGCCCCTTCTGGTAAAGGGCAACAGGGGCAGCTGCCCCTCCTGCCCCCCAGTTCCGGCATCCCTGGATACAACTACTTGATACACTAATTTCCTGAGGATGGGCCTTCGCTCGAACATTGAAGTTCTCCTTGTATTTTTCAGGTAGTTGAAATCCTATCAATCCACAACTTTCTAACTATAAATGCATCATTTCTCAAACCGTTAATAATTCAGTCTAATAAATTCTTTGTAGGTCTGCATGGCGATAAAACATAATACTTTTGCAAAGCTTTTGATCCATAAGCCTGGATCTTCATCAGTGCTAATATTTATAATAATATTATTAGCACTGATGAAGATCCGGCTTTACAGATCGAAAGCTTTGCAGTAATAAATTTACGTGGTGTTTCCACAAACAAAAAGTATTATATAATTCAGTCTAAACCACACATATGGTAGCCTTGATACTTTTGTAATAAACATCCATCAATCAAGTCAACTACATTGCTACATACCAAATTCGCGGAGTGCAAGCTTGATGAACTTCTCCAAACTTCCTGATTCAATAGCCAATGAACTGAGTTCATTGGACAAGCTTGGTTTGGATGTAACTAACAAAAATAAACAGTAGGCTTCAGTGGTATAGCCAAGGGGAGGTAGGATAGTCTTTGCCCCCACCCCTCCCAGTCACAATCTCCAAATCTGTTTTTGTGAGAAGTTAAATTCCAGGGGACAGTTGTTTGAAAGGATGGTTAGCTTAATCCTGGGTTAATGAATAATGTCGCAGCAAATTTATAGACTATAAAATATTTTTAAAAAAATTTTTTTGGATCAACACAATTTTTTTACTTTGTACAGTTGAAATATAGAAATCAAAACAGTTTACAATACAATTTTTTTCCCTGCTGATAATTTTTCTTTAGAACCCCCATCTCAGAATGCAAGAAATGCTAGATTGCAAGAAACAACACACATTCTCCATAACTAGCCTGCTAATTATTCACATCAGATACAGTCCAATAAATAATTCAATTAACCCATTAAGCTGCAGAGCTTCCCCATTGACGAGTAAAATCGTCTGGCGTTAGACAAGTAAAAAAATATAAGTGGGGCGCATTGCGGCTCAATGGGTTAACTAGAGACATTGTCAGATTTTTTGGTTAACCCATTAAGCTGCAGAGCTTCCCCATTGACAAGTAAAATTGTCTGGCATTAGACAAGTAAAAAAAATAAGTGGGGCACATTGCGGCTCAATGAGTTAATAAAGAGTGCCTTCAATGTTCCTGTGTTTTCGAGACTTGAAATTAGCATGAGCTCAATATCATGGCAGAGAAACCAAGACATTAACTTCCTGGCAACTATTATATAATTCTCTCGTTTATTGCATATATGGAACTTGTATTATGAGAACTCAGGTTAATTGCAATGTTCATTTATGGAATATCAAATTTTCCCAGCTCAAATGAAATAAGTTTAGAATTTCGTGACTTATGAAGGATTTCTAAAATGGAAACTGAATTGTTTTCGTCATGTAAATATGTAAATATTTAAATCTATGAAGCATGTAACGCTCTACTGAACAAAACGTGACTAGCTTTGGAATTGAAATTATTGAAATAAACAGCTATTTCATCATTGTCCAATCACTTCACACACAGCAAATTAAGATGAAACTGCTACCTTCCTTGTTAAAAACCTGTATAAAAAACATACTTATTATATATTCACACAAAAATTATTGGCAAGATTATATTGGCATGATTGATATTGGCTGAAGCAGGGCAGTTAAGCATAATAAACAAGTACTTTCAAGTACTTTCGAATTATTCATAACGAGATACCAGCAAAATCATGCCAGAAACAATCGCCAAATATGACATGCATTTATGAAGCACCACAGATTAAGATTCCTTCCAGCACAAAAATTTGAAATATTATCCTTTTATTAAATTCAGAAATATTCCAATACAAGTCTGGGCAAGCAATTCAAATAAAATGTTTGCTTGCTTTGAGAGAATAAACATGCTGTGTCTTTGGAAAAACCTGTCTGAAAATTGTGCATTTAACGAATTCCCCATATCGCTTATACTCTCAAAACTGATGATATAAATAGAATTTCAAATCTTCTTTTATATCATACTGTATTATTTGAGATTATCGCGAATAATCTAAGATATTTCATTTTTTATTTACACTATTAATTTTGCTTTGACAATGCTAAATCCTAGAAAAAGAGGGAAAAACAAGCTTTAAAATAGAGTTTAATTCTGAATTTCATTAGCAAGCAAACATCCTCTGTACGTTAGAAAATGGTCCCTAAGTTACCATCACAGCCGATTGATGAAAAATATCAAAACACTTAAATTTAATTGCATTTCTTACTTAAACGTAACAACAATACAGTACGCGATAATACTGACCGCTCGGATGTGTTGTTGATGATCTGTTCATCTAGAAAGCTTTCCAAAACGAGAACGGTTCAAAAACATTAAAGAATTTCCTTCCATTGATGTTCAATACAAAAGTAAACATCTCCCGACATCCACGAGCGAGCGGAAGGAAGGAGCGCCCACACAATGCTGTGTGTGCGGTTTCAAACATTGCGACGGAATTTATTCTCGTTTTGATACCAACTCGTTCTTAGCCTGGGAACGAGGTTGGTTTTGTACATGCGTAAAAAGGGACCCCTATGAATGATGAATAAGTTGTCTTACGATGTCCACGCTTATCGATACCAACCGTACGAGCCGGCCCAATAAATAGTTGATGGGCACAAAAAAGGACCAAAATTCCTTTGTGTTGGCCATAGGCCGTATGATGTATATGCGAGGCTCAATCTTGCGTTGTAAAAATGCAGACTTGCATTGGCGTACATAACGTATAAGTCTTTATCATTGGGCCTCCGTATGTATCAACATGTTTATATAAGAAGAGCTAGCCTGTTAACAGAGTGACTAATTTCTTCCATGTCTTACAGCGACTTTAATTAAGACTTTCCCGAAATAAAGTTGACCGGTTTAGATTAGGTGTAAACGTTCCTTTACGCATTGAGTAGATTCAAGTCTTCCCTTGTCCCCAAGGAAAGATTTTTATGACACGAATCAACCCGGGCTAGCTCGCCTCACATATTAAACAGCTCCAAACTTAGCCTAGAAAATTAGCTGTCAATCAATGTGATATGATGTTTTCCATCTATTCAATTAAACAATAGAATCGAAACGCTAATTGACCTTCTTTGATTTTAGTTAAGTTTGCACTCTCTTTTTTAATGTTTTGTATTTTGGTTTCGGAATTTTAAACATACACTGTTGACGTTTAAACCATATAACCTAAATAAAACTACAGGTACAGTATTTATAATGAGATAGACAACAGACGATTACCTGTACTGCTGTAGTGATTGGACGTCATCTCGAAACATTTTTGGGAAGCCATACAAAACCTCAAAATTCCCATTTATTTCTTTATATTCTTAATTTTGTTAAGCTCCGGAAACGAAAACGAGAGCAGGCAAATGAGGGTTTGCGTGCACTTTTTTCGCCCAAGACGGGAAACTCGTTTAACTTTCCCGTCTTTTGGATGGGAAAGTAAGGTGAAGAAATTGATACAGAAAACCTGTCGTTCGCCGAATTTATGTCATAACGAGTATCTCTTCTAAGCTGGAAATCCGTGTTTTAATATATGAGTTCGGCTATTTCTTGTACACAGTTACTTTCGAAAACTTGGAATGAAATATTGGATATAATGGAAGTATTTGGAAATTATCTAATAAATTTAAAGCAATCATTAGGTACCTGTTGTATGGCAGGTGCCGATCGTGTGATGTTTTTGAACTGGGTAACCTCAAGACACATCTCAGTGATGCTATGAAATCTACCACGACACACTCGACCTTATCCTTTCAAATAATGGAGTGAAAACTAACAGAGTTTGAAGGCCTATGGCGTTTCGAAAATGGAAAAAAATTCTAGCCCTCTTCATAATAGGATGGATAGCGGTGTTGGCTTATGCTGCCTGGACGGATTTTGTAAGTCGTGGGACGGAAACGAATCAATTACAAAGGGCAAAGCGGGTACTAAACAAATCACAGTTATTCATAGATAAACTACAAACGGAAATAAAGTTGTTGAGACACCAAGTGTCAAGCCTTCAGAAAAAATGCAAGAAGAAATGCCCGCTTGTAAAATCCGTTACAGAATTGAACGACGCTTTGACCGAACCAATGAACCATGAAAGAAGTGAATCAAGGACTATGAAATTTTTCAACAGGCGAACAGAATCGCGGGACAAAAGCAACCGGGCCAAAAATACATCGATGCATGAATATGAACTAGAAGCTCCTAGTTTGAAAGTAGAAATAATCCGGCGAAGAGCTTCGAAAGAACTTCGTGAAATGTGGTATTATCTTAGCGCTGAAGTGACAAAAATCAACAAACTTTTAGGAAACTCATTGAAAGCGCGTCTTACCACAATGTTAGATAATTTTGCCGAAATTCACCGAGCATTGAGTAACAACTTAGACAAAATAAACAACCACGAAGCTTTGTCAACCTGGCGTAAACAAGAACAAGCGAAGCTCAGCAAACTAATACAGAATCGCCTGAGGCGCTTACAGAATCCACAAGACTGCGACTCCGCAAGAAAATTAATATGCGACTTAAACAAGGGCTGTGGTTATGGCTGCCAAGTGCATCATTTGTTGTATTGCTTCATAACTGCATACGGTACTAAACGAACGCTAATTATTAACTCGTATGGTTGGAGATATTCGGATAAGGGGTGGGACGGCGTGTTCTTACCAGCTAGCAACACATGTACCGTTGCCAAAGGACCAACGACTGTGTGGTCCACAGACTCAGACAGAAGTAAGAATGTTCAACTGCCAATTGTAGATGCATTATTCCCCCAGCCCAAACATTTACCCTTGGCAGTACCAGAGGATTTGGTAGAGCGGATCCAGTCGTTCCATGGGTTTCCTTTCGTATGGTGGATAGGACAGTTTTCCAAATACTTGTTCCAATACCAGCCTGAGATGAAGAAAGAAATGGATGAAAAGAAAACCAAGTTAGGTTTTAAAACTCCCATTGTTGGGTAAGTGGTTTCAGGTTTGTTGTAAAGCATCTAACACTAGGGACTTCACACCAGAGGGCAACGACACACGGTAGAACCAAATTTTCCTGGTAGAATTTGGGGTCATCCATTTAGTACGAGAGAGGGAGCGTGAAAATGACTTCATTTCCATTGCTCCTTACATACAAGGGAGAGGGTACAATCTCGTACTGAATGGCCCCTGGAAGACGTTGCCCCGAGCTTAAGAAAATTTCTCAATTTTTTTCAGGGTTCATGTGCGTCGGACTGATAAAATCAACGTTGAAGCTGCTTACCATTCCATTGAAGAATACATGTACTGGGTTGACCTGTATTATAAGAAACTTTCCCTGACACAGAAAGTTCACCAGAAGAGTGTCTACTTGGCTTCAGATGATGTCACTGTTTTATCTGAAGCAAAGAAAAAGTAAGGCTTCTAGTTTAGTAATAATGACAATTAGTTAGTTATAAATCTCAGATGATAGTCATATACGTAGACCGAAAAATGGCTGACCAGTCAGGCGATCGCTCAGCCATAAACAGGTTGATTTGAAAAAATGAATTAATGAAAAGTCCATTCGTTCGTCAGTTAGCCAGCCAACCAAGAAGCCAGTATAGAAGGAGCGAGAATGATGAGCCCACAAACCAAACCACCGGCCTTTTTTTAACATGCAGCTAAGTGTCAGAAATGAAACGTTGGCGCTCAGATGAAGTCAGATATGTCTGTAAATGCATGCCTCTTCCTACAATGCTGTGAAAGAAATTATATCAAAAATTTTGATGCAGTTATTACCTTGTTGCAGATATCCTGGATATAACTTTGTGAGCGACAACGACATCTCAAAAGTGGCTGGAGCTGTTCAACAACGTTACTCAGACGAATCTCTTCATGGAATTATTTTTGACATTCAAATGCTCTCTGAATGCGACTACATTGTCTGTACATTCTCATCACAGGTAGAGCTTTAAAACTAAACTAAACTAACTTTATTCATACTGAATCAACCCCACTGTTCTAAACTGTTCTTCCTTCCCACTCGGGCGACATTGCAATAACCAGTAAAGTGATATGTAATGATAAAATTATGCTCAATTTAGGTATGCAGAGTTGCCTACGAAATAATGCAAGCCAATTCACCTACCGATGCCTCAGAGAAGATCCAATCCCTTGATGACGTCTATTATTTTGGCGGCCAATCAGTGAACGACGTTCAAGCAGTCTATTCTTACAAAGCTAAGACATACGGAGAAATTGACATGAAACCAGGAGACAGATTGAAGATTGCTGGCAACCATTGGGATGGCTACTCCAAAGCGACTTCTAGGGCGAACAGAAAAACTGGAATGTTTCCATCGTATTTAGTTGAGAAATATGTTCATGTTGTCGACTTTCCGGATTATTCAGACTTTGATAAAGAACTGGAATAAGAAAGTGTTTACCCTGCCGCACTTTACACATAATTTCGCTTCTCGTTCATAGATACCGATAAATATATATTATGGAAAAGCGCGTAATATCAATTTAGCATTGGAAATATAGATAAAACATTATGCAAAATTTTTCATTCTACACACGTAAAATCTCACAACTTGGCAACAAGATGTGTTCGCAACAGGCTTGTAGCAAGCTTGTCAACAAGTTGTAACAATGCTGTTATTTTATCAAGTTGCTACAAGGTTGTCACTCACAACTTGTTGACAAATTGTTGAATTGCAGGACGATAATAAGTTGTTGGAACAACTTGTAACAAGTCTGTTGAGCTCAACAACCTTGTAGCAAGTTGTCAACAAGCGCTGGGAACAAGCAGTGCGAACACATCCTGTTGACAAGGTGTTGGAACAGCATTGCTACAAGTCTGCTACAAGTTTGTTACAACTTGTGCGTTTTGACGTGTGTAGTTGACCATTAACGAATCATCACAACTGTTTTGGGAGAAGCATGTCATCAAACAAAATTTTTCTCTCTGATTTGCAGACTCCATGCAGTCAGTGTACAACGAATCCATAGAGTTAGCAGTGCAGGCCAGAATGTACAATATAAAATAATTGAGGCTTTTTTGTGATCAATGCATTTTAAGTAACATTTAGTTAGGAATAGATGTAGATTTTAAATTTAGAGTTGTACTATTATAGAAAATCGTGAAGAACTAAAATGGGTTTCGTACCAAATGTAAAAATATTGATTGCTATATCAATATTAGCAAATTGTTCAATTACTGGAAAATGATTTGAAGAATTGATTTAGATATAATAGATATACAATAACACTTCAATTAAAGCCAGCCTGGTGTGAGGTTCTATTGTTTTACCCAGTGATATTGGATGTCAGTTTCAGTCCCTTTCTACGGTCTTTCTCTGCGCGGCTGGATACGAAGCTGTAAGAAGTGTGGCAAAATTTCGTGTTTTGACTTCGATTTAAAGACTAATATGATTTTATGATCCGTTAGAAAAAACTGGAATTAGCTGAGAAAAAATGGTATTAAAACAGCTTATGACCTTTATGACGACTTTCCAATCTCGTACCCAGAGCCATCGACGAGATTGACGACTTTCCTAGTAGGTCGAACGACTGAAGTTCTTACTTAGATATACAGCCAATTCAAAAAAGGTTGTCCTTTGCAAAACTCTAAACCTTAAACTCTAAGCGCGCAAAGCTTAATGGAAGCAAAAGTTTCAAGCTTAGTAGTTGAATATTCAGCAGCTATTTGTGAATGGATTATTCTCGCAAGGAGATATTTACCATGTCTCTAAGAAATGTGCCCATGTGATGCATATATGATTTCTAAATATAATGAATGCGCCCATTATCAGTGCTTTTCACGCTTAGCGTGAGTTCAAGGTTTGCAAAGGACAACCTGTTAATATATAGAGAAATGATGAATGATGAATCGATCTTGTGGTTTAAATAAATCCTACTGGCTATCAAATAAATCTTTCAAGCAAATTCTTCGCATACAATGGGCTATATATACCTATCCCATTTAAGTGTCACGGAATTTTCAGATTTAAAACCTAACGCTTTAATAATGTCAATGATCTGCAAAGCATACAAATATAGCTTATCATCTTAGCTTCATACAGAAAAAGCGTGAAGTAAAGTTGACTGTACTATTTCGTTTTTTATTATGATTTATGTTATTCTTTTACTACTATATGCATAAATCTGACTGAAGATAAGTGCGCTAACACTATTGAAAGCTCGTCTTCATGATTGTTATAAGTTATAGATACATGTAAAATGTGGGTTTAAATTAGCCATTTGCCTTTTCTCCTTATATTGCTCTATATAAACACATGCAACGCTCAAAATGTCCTCAAGAACGTGATCCAGGCCCATGCTAGATGGAGATCCTCATGCATTAGCATAAATTACGTATCATATCTATCTTGTCTGACTGATATAGTTTTTTCACTGGCGCCAAGTGAATTTTCAACGTGTTTTTTTTACTTTAATTTGTTAAAACATTGTGATAAGTTCACATGTTCTTAGGCTGTTTTATGAAATTTGAGAACAAATACGAAATGGTCTTCCATATACTTTTTAATTTAATCGTACTCGACTTTTGAGTCTTGACAAGCTTTGACGCTTTGTAAATATAATTCGACATAATCTCAACGAAACATATTTACATAAAAAGTTTAAACAAAAAACCAAACATTTTCATGGCGATTATAATTTAATTATGATCCATATAGTGATATGAAATCAGTCTAGAATATCTGATGTGAGCTAAAATGTGGTTGTCACTGCAAAACAACACATGAAGAATAGATACAATGTTTCAATATGCATCTTCAATACCTCGTTCAATACGAATCAATTTAATCATACAGTACTGCTCTGCCTCCATGAATGAGTACTAGCCAATAGCTTTTTCATTACAAGGCTTGAAATACGAACATTACAACGAGAGAATTAGTAAATGAAAAAGAACGTAAACACATCCACGCATGTGAAATGCGGTCAAGACATACATAAGACTGTGGTTGGCCCATCAGACACTCCATTATGATTGTGCTGACTATAGAGTACAGTGGTTGGTTAACTGGAGTAAGGGAGGGAACTTTAGCAAAAAAAGACAGTCGCAAACTAAACAAATGGTGAAGCTTGTACATAAGTCATAACTCATAAGCAAAAAGATAGCAGCCTTCATCACCTATTTGTATATTTTTATAATAAAATGGCCCAATGTAGTTTCTAGTATATCAGTGGCATATATTTTTAGCAATAACTGAAATAAGAGAGCAGTTATTTACCAATCAGCTGACACAAGACATTTTGTGAAGATTGTTGGTCTGAGAAACTACGATAAGGATTGGGAGAATGCATTCTTTAGGTCTACGATATTTCTATCTAGTTTGTTTGCACGCGAGTGTATTTTTAACCTATCGTTTCCAAGGCAGCCGAAACGTTTTCTAAACTATAAGAAAATCCACAAATTCCGATTGCAAACGCATTTTCACGTGTCTGTGAGGTTCACAAAGCTGAAACTATTCCACATTCAGTTTGAAAAATAATTTCTTCCGTGTTTTATCGCACCATTCGTGCCATACAACTTATCAATGACAATGGGAAAATTATGAAATTAAAATCTTTTATGTTGTCCGTGCATTATCGGGCAAAATATCTTACCAGCGCTGGACAGCTAGACATAATTATTGACACAGATGTTGACAATCACGACCGTTTCATTTAGATTTAATGATATGAAGTTACATATTAAAGAGTGGGGTAGACCAGTATACTTGAACTACTGAACGCGTCGAGTACACATGCCAGAATACAGGACCTTTACAAAATATTTTGAGGAGTAATATATGCGATTAAGCTTATAAATCATCGCTGTGCAACAGTAATTTGATTTGATGGTAACTTGTCAAGGTATTTTTCACATTTTTTTAAGATTTAGAGGTCAAGTCGGCGCGTCTTTTTGCTTGACGTTAGCTTGTTACTTTTTAGTCCGTGTGTGTAAACATTTATATGGTAGTTTCATTTTATGGGTAAATATCAAAATTTTGGGCGCCTCACTCGATAGAACAAGGCCGCAGATTCGATTCTTGGGGTTAGTATAGGTTTTAAAATGTATCAAATTAAAAACCGTTTTTAGATAGAATTCAGCCGTCAACAAAAGCCTTTCAATATCAGGCATTCATTTTCCTTTTTATTGATATTTCTTCAAAGCATCATTTAATCTCAAGATAGAAGCTTTTTCTCAGTCTTCTCACTGACTGAAGTTTTAATTTGCGCACCAAATTCGATTTGCACGATTTCGTCTTGAGCGTCCACATTGACTAGCTAAGCTATGTGGCTAACCGTACAAATTTCTGCATAAGAGAACTGGATTTAGAACAGCTAACCGCATGAATTCGCATGTGAACGAATGTATGCTCTTTAATTCGCGCACAATCTCTCATGTCAGTCGTTGTCCACAAGATTTTTAACACAAGATTTGCGCACATTCGACTGAACACCTCGCGCGCACAAGATTTGCGCACATTCGAACACCTCGCGCGCGCGTTTAAGATACAATCGTATTCAAACCGTATTACAATTGAAATTATAAGAAAACTCTATAAAGTAATTTCGTTAATAGGCTACCTATCCGCGCTTCTTATTCGATGATATTATAATTCCCACGCAAATATTCGGAACAATATTTTCTTTGGGGGTATTTTATACAACAACCTGTTTTCAATTTTGTTTAATTGCACTCTGTCTCTGATGTAAAGTTAGGCAGAAATGAGGCCCTGGTGGTATGCATGTCGCTCCAAGCAAGTAATGCCGCCGCTTGAAAACATTGCTTTGTCACTTTGGGAATTTCCTATCATGCTTTGATTCTTTTCCATGTCGCTGTCACAATTTAGACAGAGTTTGTGTCCGATGTTGCTATTTCATTTTTTCAAGGCAATGTCAGCTGTCGGAATTTACCCTAACAAGGCCTTCGAATCCTTTGCAATTATTATCTAGCTAATAATGAATGTTAATGAGAACATTCTTTGGTCCGGCATACAGTGATGAGTGCATGCGAATTTCAGCCTACAGGCTGGAAAACGCAATTATCTGATTATAATTGCGCCTCAGATTCATTGTTTTGAACATAGCAAACAACGAAACTGGTAGAAAAATCTAAAACTCTCTGGAAAAATCTGAAGCCTAATTAGATACGCAAGCGGAATGCTTTGATGTTCTTTATTTATTTTATGCAATTATTTCAAAACGATAGCCTAAATACTGCTTTTCACAAAAGGCCGTTTATTTGCATCAAATTATTAAATATATACTAATATAAAAATATGTTATATCGCAATGAGAACAGTACATTTTATTTTACAAGTTTGCCATTGCAATAGATCTATATAGAGTACTATGGTTACAAATGACTGGAATTTCCACACAGAGATAGTTCTCCAATAACGGGGTTCCAAAAAAGAACAACTAATGGTATATCTAATTATTTTGAAATTAAAACAAACATAACAATTAAACACAAATACAAGAAGACAAAGCAAACGTATTGACGAACAAACGAACAAACTGACTAAATTTAGCAACATGTTCGAGTTGATAAGTTCATTAGTGGACGAGTGGTGTGACATTTAATACACAACAAATAAATGTGTCTGATATCCTCATATCGTGTTGTAATGAATTTTCTGTGTTGGTGTTATGTACTCAGGTGAAAATGATGTTTGTGATGTTAATTAACCAGGATTTGTGTTGTAATGATATATTCCACGATCACGCGACGTTTGTCAATTTAATTATTGGTAACTTGACCCTGTTATCTCCTTGCGGCTGACTGTTTTAATGTTTGTAAACAGTAAACAACTAGTGATATCTTTTTGAAATCCTTTAAGAGACAGTTTATTGTCCACGCACATGCAACAGCGTATATATGCGATTATTTACAGATGCTGCTTGCGCTACTCCTGCAGAGAGGATAAAATGCGGACACGGACGGACGGACGGACGACTATGGAGAAACGCTTATCGTGCTAAAAACATATCCGCTAACCTCATTCTACGAGTCCATGTGCACCCCCGCGCGCGATTTCTGTCACTCGCGTGCATGCCACGCGTATTAAGATCATGTAAAGCAAAGACACGCTTTTCTTTTTATAAAACTAAAGAGGCAACTGGGAACGATTCAGGAGCTAATATCAATCCCACTCGGTTTAAAAAATGCATGCATGCAGAGCTATGTCTGAACACAGGTATCGATTTTTCGTAAAAATGTTTTGAAACTGGGTAACTGGGCTAAATGCGTTATTTATAGGCCTATATATCGATTCTTCTGCACCAGTCAGATATGCACAACATGATTTTACCATGCAGTGCCCGCGGTGATAAGCCGGTTGTTGTGATGAAAAACACGATGATATTTTTACCGTTCCGTAATAGGTAGTGGAAAACATGGACTCATAGACTGGGGTTAGGATGGGTTGATCAGGATTGGGTGATCGGAAAATTGATGAGATTTTTTTTCTAAACCGTAACCCTGACCCCTATACAAGGAGCTGGCTCTCTCATGCATTCGGGAAATTTAGGGACTGTTCATTTGAAGCAGGGCTGGCCTGGTTAACCGGCATGGTTCATTTAATAAAGCTTTTACCACGGCTTTGGTAAACATTCAAAATGACATTTCAAAAAGTTCAGTTAGCTTAGTTTGATTCCAGTGACAGCATGAAGTTCATTCAAACGATCAGTTTAACGGTCAGAAGAAAATCTCGTGACAAGATTCATAACGGCTAGCCGGACTATATCAACAGGCCCGCAGGACATCTTATAAGCCCTGGAAATTATAATCTCTTGAATCAAGAGAGCCCAGCAGCTATTAGCATGCGTAGCAGGTGAAAGCTTCCCATGTAGGGAAGCCACGTGAATCTAATTATTTCATCCAGTTGGATTTCTTATTAACAAGTGGATTCCTGTGATTAATTCACGTGATCATAAACCCAGATTTAATATTGACCTTTTGTCTAACATCCCTTGCAGTCAGGCTGAGACGCGCAGACAGCTATAACTACCCTAATCAACACTTGAAGTCTAACTGGACCTCAAAAGCATCGGCGTTTCAAGGTAGGCATTTACAGCCTATATTTTGTAGGGCTTTTAACAGCGCATAAAGCGAGCTGGTATAGATATTCACAAGTCGTTGCAATGGAAAAAGCATGTATAAGGGCATCATTGTTATGCTGTGCTCATGTTATGAGGCACAGATTTTTTTATGCTGCGCTGTTAATAGGGGGTAGATATACATATGGGCCATGGCTTATCGCATCTATATTCGAGAACTAAGATATCTTGTAACAGTATATATCTCTACATTTTCCAACATTTGTCATATATTTTAGCAAGAAGGTAAAGGTACAGTATGTTAGTTTCGCACAGCCAGTGAAATCCAAAACGTGTTTTTAACAGTAATCAGCATGAGATTTTTGAAAACAATTATGCCTATTTATAGCCATTATTGAATTGGTCGTTGAAGTATCGAATAGAACTGATCCTGCTCGCATGAAAACATTAGAATAAGAACATTTTAATCAACCTAGAGGCAGGATTTTTTTCAGGATTTTCTCTTGGGTCCGTTTTTGCCGAGAAGATTGAGTTTAGCTGAACAGTTGGGGTGGTTGCACCCCCTCCCCCCTTCAATAAATGTAGTTGAGACGCAATGTGTTAAAGCAGGGGCACTAAGGGACACTATATACTGGTTAAACATGGCGAATGCGTAGTTTTTCTTGTGTTGTGAGATGAATTCCAGCCATTATTTTCCTTAATTTTCGGGTTTCCAACTGAAAACTAATTTTCACACGTCACGAATTTAACTCAAACAACTTCATTTTTACTGCACCGAATCTTTTGTGAGAAGATTGAGTTTCAAAATTCAATTCAAGATTGAGTTTTTGGGGCCGTTTTACGGCCCTAAAAAATCCCTGAAGAAAACCCTGAGAGGCACAGAAGATTTTTGAATTTCAACTACAGATTTCAGCTGATAAACATCAGCTATAGATTAGCCGGACCCAAGCGTTCAATATCAAGATTAGAATATTAATATTAAAGCTAATTTATATTCTATAATCAGAGCAGTTCAACTTTACCCCCTCTTGAAGCTTCTAGTCATGTGCGTTGCACATGCAAGGACTGATTAAGCTGCATGCTGACGTAAAAACGCACAAGTTGTAACAAACCTGCAGCAGACTTGTAGCAATGCTGTTCCAGCAACTTGTCAACAGGATGTGTTCGCACTGCTTGTTCCCAGCTTGTTGCCAACTTGCTACAAGGTTGTTGAACTCAACAGACTTGTTACAAGTCGTTGCAACGACTTGTTATCGTCCTGCAATTCAACAATTTGTCAACAAGTCGTGAGTTACAACCTTGTATAAAATAACAACATTGTTACAACTTGTTATGTCACAAACAAAAAAGGAAAATTGCAAGCCTCTTCCATAATGAGCCTCTCAAACCAAATAATGCTCGTAGACAGTGCACCTGCTGAAATTGATCAATATTCCGATGTTTCTCGATACCGATATTGTGTCTTCTTGCTCTAGCCATAAAAACGCGTAAAAAATCGGTGGCATAGGTTGGATTCTCGCTACAGACTCGTGCGAAAAGAGTCAGTCAACGCTCTGCCGAAAGTCGTGGGTTTTCTCCGGGTGTTCCGATTTCTTCCCACAGGGAAAGTTGACAGGGTGGGTTAGGATAAACACAGTTAAGAAAGGAATATCACAATTGTTGTAAAGATAAAATAGTCTAGGCTAAGTATGGAATTAGGCAAGCGTAATATGTAAAGCGCATTTGCTGTCACGGCAATTAGTGTAGGTAATCGCATGGGCCGAGTAAAATTATTAAAGTTTAATTTCACGCGTGTTTTCAAAGTTTCACAATTGGGACAATTTGCGAAACTTCGTTACTTTGAAAACACAAGAGAAATTAAAACTTAATTTTCCGAGGAACTATGCGATTACTTGTTAATCATAGAGGGCAAAATTTATTCGTAAGTTAATTGTGAACTTATCAAGTTCTTGAAACTCGTATGTCTCCATGTCTTCGCCGCGATGTTTCTTAATGCTGCCCTTTTCTTAAATACTCCAACCAATAAATTTGTACTTTTTCTAGTGTTCAAGCTCTCACTAGAAGTTTTTTAATTATTCAATAACATCATTATCCGCGACGGCAAAGCGAGAAGCCATTGTTTTTGTTGCTATTTAAAACAAGAAACTTCCCGTGCTTGCATCTCAGCCAATCAGGTACAAGTAATTTTGCCCTGAATTAAGAAAAAATGCCCTCCTCATTAACCAATCATATTTGAGTAATTTTGCCCTCTATATGATCAAAATAGAAATTCGTGTTCATCAACCGTATCCAACAGATGACGCGACAGGTGCATGTCTATAAAATCTTCATTATGTAACGCGTAACAGACGAACAATCGAGTAGTAGATTTAGGACACTATCCTAGAGAGATAACCAGTTGTTATGTGAATCATTCTGACAGCATGAATGGATGACCTCTCTTGGCCTTTACATATTCATGCGAACGATATGAATGTGTTTTGCTCGCAAAGTTAACATATACAAGTTGAATAGCGCGCTACGGGAGAAGGCTTAGCACAACCGGGGGGCTTTGGATGGATGACGGCTAGCTGAATAACAGTGTCATAGAGCTGTACCAATATTTTATTTTAATCTTGAAAGCATTGGTAGGCTAAGATCAAACTGTATATTGCATTACATTTAAGGCAAATATAAGCTTTAAAGAACTACGATTTCAACTGCAAGCCATAACAGGTGGTCATATATATTGGCAATTTCAAAGAGAACATATTTTATTGGTGAAATGAATGATAGCTCTAAAAGTGTATGTACCATGTCGTAAATGTTAAGCCGGACTCAAACAGTGTCTTGACATCGTGAGATTAACCGATATTTTGAGATTTGAAAATATGGGACTGGAACACAGATTAAGTATAAACCAGATGTGTAACTTCGTAGGACTTCGTGTCCTCAAATTTCCCTAGGCTGTCTCGTCATGACATTTGCTAGGAAGATGGCGGCGTAACATTAGTATTATCAAATGACGAATTATCACGGGAGCACACTTGCTAGGATTAGGAAGATGGCGATCGTAGGACAACTTTTTTACTGAAGTTACACATCTGTTAATACTTAATCTGTGACTGGGAGCAGGCAACTGGTCAGCATTAGACGCGCGACATGATCTTCGCTGCTGTAACAACAACCCTAGGGCCTAACTTCCATGCAAACTGGAAATTTAAAAAATATCGATAACCATCGCTAGAACTAAGACGTAAGTTTTAAATTACCATAATTATGATAATAGCGTGTAATACATACTAATTTTATCTCATTTTGAATATTCGTATATAGTTTTTGAATATTTTGCATGCACTAGTTTTCAAATAAAATGCGCTTTACAATACATTATACAAAATATTATGTTGAACAGCGCGCTACTGTATGAATAAACGTTCTTATTATTCCCCAGCCCCTTTTTCTAACATCTATTTTCTTGCTTGGGAGAAAATATTAAAACAAGAAAGCGGAACAACACGAGCCAACGTTTCACAACAATTTTTCACGGCATGTACACAAGGAAAATCTTGCGGTTAGCAGTTCACTTTGTGATTAGTTATTTAGTCTAATTTAGAGGAATACACGTCACTTTTTGACATGACCAAGCATTAATAAACAATCGTTCTCCCGTGATACCCGAGTCGAAACGGAAAACATGAAATGTTTGTAGGAGCTTCGGCATTTTGAATACAATACGTGAGAACAGCTTAAGACCTCACTGCTATAGTCTATATAGAGGAGTATGTTTGAGTGATGTTTGAAACAATTCTGAAGGAGGCGACACGACATCAAAGAAGGTAAAACATCAAAGTAGTACACGCACGTATTATGCTTCAGCCGATGTCTCAATGGCCGATGCACATTCTCATAACAAGGTCTCGTGTTATCAGTTGGAATTATTGACTCCATTGAAGAACAACAAAACCGCCATACATCTGCCGTCCACAAGTCAATATGCCAATGCTATCATCTTCTATAGTTTTTGTCCATTTCAACGTAACACCATTGTGCGGCTCTGTTCCAATATATAATACTGATCGAGGCAGGACTACCGATTCGGAAGGCATGGGCCGCATGGCCAACCATTTGAGACGCCTTTTGCGGAGAATACAATCTCTCTCCACAACTTGCGGTTAAAAACTCAAAACAAACTTTTGCCCAATCTCTAAATCCCTTGGTTGTCTTCTCATTACAACCCACTTCTCGCTTCAATAATAAGCAAAAAAAAATAGTGCGTTCTTCCGGTGTACAAAACTGTCGAAGTTTTGGAAGCCCCAGAGTTTCCAGGTTTAAAAAAACGCCTTAAAAAACTTAAATATAAATTTATCCGACCATATAAACATGCTGGACACTAGTCTTGTAAACAGAGCCGTAGACTAATCGTCTGCATGTGTTTTTTTCATTATATTTTACAAATTCCGTCGTATCCATTTCAGGTTCTGCTGAGGATCGAAGCATAACGTTATCGCAAACATGGTTGAACTAGTGAGGCTCGTCGAACTCATAGCAGTCGGGGTGATATTCTTTTTCGGTGTCATATGTAACTGTGTAGTTATCCGCAGTATCAGTTTGGCACGAAGCATGCGAGGCGCGGTCCCTTACAACATCAAGAATGAATGTGTGAATCTGCTCGTAATGAACCTAGCTATAACAGATCTGCTCATATTGCTTGTGAGTATACCCATGGATATTGTCCCTGAGCACATTTCGTGGCCGTACGGGACATTTGTGTGCAAGTTCATATCGCCAATACAAGACATTGGTTTGACTGCCTCGACGATGACCTTCAGCGCTATTGCCGTAGAGCGTTATTTGGTTTCCAAAGGAGTTGTTCATCAGGGCGCTCGCAACGCGAAATTGGTAAGAGTCAAGCCCGGATCAAACGCGAGGATGAGTGTGCATGAGAGTTGACAGTCACGCGATCTTGGTTAGCTGTTCTTAATGCTTTCCCAACACTATCATGTATTCTATTTAAGTTAAAACATAGTTGGGAAACTCATCAAAACTTTACTTTGTTAATCTAGAGCTTGAAATGTCCTCTGTGGCAATACGCGACTGTCAACTCTCATTAATCTCATTCTCCTTTGATCCGATCAACGAACTTTATTTATATTGGGCTAGCTGATACAATATATAGTGGGTTTCAAGCAATCCGGAAATAATCACATTCTAATAAGAATCTTTTGTTTAAATGCCCTCCATGTGCAGTGAACTGTAGACTGATGAAAGCCACCTATAGCAAAAGCAATTAAGGCCATATATATTCACGGGGTGTAGAATATATTCAGGAAGGCACAATTGTTACTTGCGGCGTCCCCCTTGGGGGGGGGGGGGGATGACCCCAAAAGAGGAAAGGCTTCAAAAGCTAAGTACTCAGTCTTTGAGCCTCTTTTATCGTCCCCTAGATTGCCAGGGAAGAAATTCGCCCTTCCCAAATGGAAGCAAATATACATTCATATCTACATAATTATGTTTTAGATAATCGCTGGGATCTGGCTCGTATCCTGGCTAACCATGGGACTTCCTATGGCAATATACAAACAACTCATCATGGACGAAACCAGAGTAGAATGTGACGTCATCTGGCCGAATAAATATGTCGCAGACTTTTTCTTGTTTTACATGATAGCATTGGTTGGCGCATGCGCAATCACGGGCGCTTTGGCGTACTGTGGAATCAGGCGAAGTCTCGCAAAGGTACGGCAAATTTATAACAAGGAGAGATCGCGCGAGAATGTCGATCAAGTAAGCGATGACGCATTGGCCGAACAAGTGCTCAAGATCTCAAATCTTATCTGCGTGCTCATTTCCGTGTTCGTGATTTGCGTGTTTCCGTTCCCGTTGTTCGTGGTGCTAATAGAGACAGACGTGCTCGCGAACTTTCGCTACAACTATGTGATATACCTGGCCACATCTTGTCTTCTGTATGGAAACTGTCTGGCGAACCCGCTTATATTGATGTTCATGAGCAGGGACGCGCGGACTGCGTTAATTGAAAAGAGATCCAGCACGCGACGGATTGAAGCCACGGAACATATCAGATTGGAGGATGCCTAAGGATGCCCTTCACTGAAGTCAAATGTCTGATTTTCTGTCTGAGTTGTGGATGAAGTTGTAATAAGAGTGTAGTTGTAATACATTGATTGTTCAAAAGCTTAACCCTGGGTTGACGTGAAATCCAAGGTTTCTCAGCAGCTTGCTTGTCCTAATCATCAGAAGTTTAATTTTCTCAACTTTTGAAAGAAACAGTAAAATAGGTGTAACGTCTGGTTCATATATATACCTGCGGTATGTCGGCGGGCTAATGTCGTCAGCAGTTTTCACAAAAGAATTCACAAAAGAATGTATGCATCAACAGCTGCAAACAATGATAGCACAGGCATATGTGAACCAGGTTTAAACGGTTTTAAGTAAGGGCATTATTATCATACGTAGCTATTGTAATTCCAAGTTGCGATACTTGGTGTTAGCGGCACCTTAAACTCACCAGTACCACCAAGCTTATAGTTTAGTAGTTTAATAAATATGCCTTACGATTCAATACATTATGATAAAATCATAAATTACATTCACATAATTATACACTATAATAAAATCATATACATTGATAGAAAATAATTCCACTCAATCCAATTCGTATTTTAGACTTATACAAGACTTTAAAATTAAAGTCTTATTCTCATTCTTTAAAATTAACGAGAAATCTAGAAGGCTACATCTACTACTTTCCATGTATATCTAATTAATAGACTACACTATCATGTGAATAAAATAATCGAACTACTCACGAATTTCTAATTGATGAGAACGCTTACATGACATTAATGAGACGCTAATGAGACACTATGATTTACAATTATATATTTGTATCTGAATCTAGACTGTTCGTGTGCATGGCTTTAAAATAGTGTCTATTTGCAAGGATTGTAAGTTGTTCTTTCACAAAATTGGTAGGTTAATGACCTAATAATGACATTTGTGTCTTTTCATCGCTAGTATACGTCTAGGTGATTTAGATCGAACTGGAAAAAATTGTTGTCAGCGTTATAAAATGTTTATTTGTCTTTAATATAGAAAGAAATATAAAATAATGGAAAGTATAGACACTGCCTGAATTTGCTCGAGTGCATAGTACGAAACAATAGCTTGAAATCAAGCCAGACAATCGAGTAGTCCATTGTAAATATATAAAAGTTAGTTTTTATTGTCAGTCAACAAATTCAGGAAGTGTCTATTGGCGACCATTTTTTGAACATTATCACTGCCTTCCTGGAACAGGAATGCAAGTTGGTTAGTTAGGGACTGGTCATAAAGTAACTGCTAGGGTGGGCTGGAGGTAAATCACAAATTTTGCCAATAAGTTTGGTGACCCATCTTAGGATATAGATAAAAATTTCAAAGCCCATCTAATCTTACAAAAAAATTTTATGACCCACCCAATTTAAATTGGGAAAATACACTTTTATAATAAAAAAAACTTGCAGGTATATGAACATTGTAAATATACACCGGCACATTGTATTGACATACATAATTCCACCAAGCTTGACCAACACATTCATCACCAATTACGATACTGAGCTGCTCTCCAGTTGGTTGTATTTGCTGTGATTCGACGTCGCACTTCTTCTTGTTGTATAATTAAAGTACTGGCTTCAATAGTATCATTTGCATTTGATAATGTGGATAGTTTTGTTTACTTTTATTATTAATCTCTTTATTTTCTGAAGTAGACACCGTGCATGGGTTTTTGTTTGGTGGCCCAACCGTGGACATACAAAAAAATTGGCGGCCCATCGAAACTGCCCAAAGATTTTCCATGGCCCATCCCAAATCACTCCAGCCCACGGCCTAGCAGTTACTTTATGACCGGTCCCTTATTGAGATCATTGGGTCATCACTACAAACATGTGAGCCATAATGAAAGCATATTTATCAGTAGCATCACCACCCACGAAGCTATTCGACCGCTGCATCTATTATAAGTACATTTCATTTTAATATCTCGTAATTTAGGACAGGTCTCCTTCCTGGGCTGTGTGTGATCAATATGTTTACAAGTGCCATTCACAATCCGATAAGCACCTGCGTCAAACACTTGGTTGCTAATGCGACAATTGAAGTTGTAAAAAAATGACTGACGGTAGCGTGTCCAGTTCTCGATCACGAGAAGATATAGGTTGGTCTTCGGTAAAGACGTGAAAAAGTAGTTGCCACTTGTACATGGCCCAGACGAATTTCCAGTAAAAACTTGCTCGTCTAAAAATAAGGTCTTTCTTTCAGCAAACACAGTAAAAAGGTCGTCAAAAAATAACTCCAAAATCTATGTGTCCGTGTAAAAAATAGGCGCCTGTTGGTATCCTTTGGTCTCGTATGCAGATCCGTTTATCAGCGGTTATATCATAACTAGTATCCTATAGCCTCATGCTCGACGCGTGGGTTTCAGAACGATAAACTTGTGCCGTGCAATTGAGGGGGCGGGGGGGGAGGAGTTAGGGGGACAGAAATAAATTTGCCCGACTATTTTGCATTTTGCCCGACTTGTCAAAAAAATAATTCCCCTTGTTAAACTTCCAAATTTGTCTTCCAAAATTCCTACCTTCAAATAAGGCCGTGTAACCAACAACGTCCTGAATGCAACCATATTCATTTTGAAATGGAGGAATGGGTCCCCGGTTGCGATAATACTCGTCTTCTTCTTCAGGAGTCTGAATAATTCCTTTCAGCGTCACCTACAAATGACATAGATACAAGTTCCTTTATTATTTCTCTTTGTTTTCGACTCGAATGACATCCTTATCCCTAACCTAGTTTTAAACGGCCGGTGCCGGCAGTGCCAATAATAGGGAGCTTTAGATTTGACTGCGGCTAGGAAATGTAGTGCGACTACGAGATTTTTCCGTTAAATATCTGCGCCAAAAAGCTTAGAACTGTACGTAGTTTGGTTCACGTGTTGTTTTATGTGCTATGCCAAAGAGAGGACGATAGCAAGTCTCAAATAGCAGAAATTTAACGGGAAAATCTTGTCGTACTAGATCTCGTAGCCATAGTCAAATCTAAAGCTCCCTAATTAATTTCGGTTGCAGCTACCTGAAAAATACAAGAACATCGACGTTTCGCGCAAAAACCCTTCGTCAGGAAGTTAGTAATCAGTAGCCCGTGTTTAGCTTACTGTTCTTACGTCGTGAAAATCTTCAATCCGTACCTGTTATGGTAAAATATACTGCGTCCTGGCTAAATCAATGGACCATTTGCATTATAGACTAAATTTTGATCTAGACAAAAATTTCATCACAGCTTGAAAGAGCATCACAAAATTAGTAATATTCCGAAGTTTCGTTGCGAAATGTTGTAAAATGCGGATAATATAGCCATGCGAAGTTTGCAATTTTCAGTCATTTTAGATTACAAACGGGAAATTGATACCCAAATCGGGTGTTTGGGTATCAATTTCCCGTTTGTAATCTAAAATGACTGAAAATTGCAAAGTTCGCAAGGCTATATTATCCGCATTTCGCAACGAAACTTCGGAATATTACTAATTTTGTGATGCTCTTTCAAGCTGTGATGAAATTTTTGTCTAGATCAAAATTTTAATTATAAGGTTAAAGGTCCATTAATTCTCTCTCTCTCTCTCTCTCTCTCTCTCTCTCTCTCTCTCTCTCTCTCTCTCTCTCTCTCTCTCTCTCTCTCTCTCTCTCTCTCTCTCTCTCTCTCTTTGAAATGTACACGACTCGAACTCGAGTCAAACACTGGTCTAGATGGGCCTCGTTTTTTTTTAGGTACAGTAGTCACATGTCTACCAACCGAAGTTTCATTTATGCGTTTATAGAGATGATCAAGTCAAACATAGTCAGAAAAACCGCTATCGTAGAGGGTGTCCTGACTATGTCAGTCCTGATGTCCTTTGACAGTCAAAGCAATCTTGAACGATGTGGATTTGCACCAGTCTTCGTCTTGGAATGAACTGGACCAGAGTGGGACCGAACTCATAAGTCGCAGACAATGACGCTGGAAAGAAGATCTCTGATAATCCACCCTGATAATCTTTCAAACTATTTGGATGAATATGAATTTTACTTCCGGCCCAAATGTGGTGCATTTTCCAGGGCGTAATACAAATACAAAATTTGCAAATTTCGTAGGGCTATATTTTCCGCATTCTACAACATTTCGCGGCGAAACTTTGCAATTTTACTAATCTTAACAAGCTCTTTCTAGCTGTGGTGATGGATTTTGTTCTTCTTGCCTAGATCAAAATTTAATCTGTAGCTGGGATCACCCATTCAAGTCTACAACTTGTGAGTTCAAATCCAGGTCCTACTCATTCATTTCAGTTTATATATCATCCATTATACAGCGCCAGATAGAGGATGACTTGACTATGTCAGGCTTGAAAATCTTCAAAGTCTTTGTGATCAATATGGATTAGCACCATCCTATGGGTCTCCATACTATCTTCCAGTAGCAACTCTCCTTCATTAGACATCTGTGATTGTCATCGTATGTGGCCGGGCAAGATGTTGTGTGCATGGAGATATGAACAATCAGCTCAGCTACCAAAACTGAATAACCCACGAGCATTATCCGCGTTCCATAGCGTTTGTAACAATGCTGTAATCGTCACAGTTACGATGACGTCATTGTCACACACGACACAGCTAAAACCGGAGGGTAATTCATTTGTGCTAGCTGAGCCGAGTAGGTCATGTCATCGATTTGTTCATTTTTACTGTGTGATCAGTAGAGCTGCATAGGCCAGTGACCATGGACTTCCATCTTGTTATCAGTTAGAAATTTCAGTATTAGATTTTGTAATCTATTTCTGTTAGTATAATTATTAAATTTACTTAATCTATACCTGTATCCTCACTATAATGTAATTAATAATACTGCTGTAACAGATCATCATGATCATGATCACCATCATCACCATTTACCATTATCACCATTATCACCATCATCACCATCACCCATCACGACCACAATCATCGAAACTAGTGTGGATTTCTTGAACTCTCTTGTTCTTCAGCGTCATCAGTTGATTTATTGTCAATGGAAAGAAAATATCCAATACCATATACGAGCTATATCACACTCTGCCTAATACTATTCAGACGAATTTTCCAGCTAAGAAAATATCACAGAGCATAACTCGGGAACCCAAATGAAAATATTCAACGCCTGAATGCCATCTATGAATTATCATTCGGTCCGCCTGATCTCGTCATGATACAATGCTTCAGACAACTTGAGAAGCCACAGAGCAAAACGTGGTAAACATCTTGAAGTACAACAGGCAGTACAAAAGATGCCACAGATAGTGTTGCTGTTTATCTTTTTTTAAGAATGAGTGTAAGCCATGTACATCGAGACGATGCATACGGAATACACTCACTCTTAACGAAATCATGAAAAGCAACGCTACCAGTGGCATCTTTCGTATTGTCTTCCACAATTTTGTGGGTCGCCATGTATTCATTATGTGAATTTATGTCCACACACCTACTTCGGGAAAATACGATAGGTAAGAATATAATAATATCAATAAAGGTAAAATCTCAAGTGAAAAATTACGTTCAATAATATAATTATATATAACCAAGGAAATATAAGAACGGTTTCCTCTTAATTCAAATGCCAGTTACTGATGTTTGCCAAACGTCTCCTTGTCTATCTCGTATCTACAATTGTAGAAGATAGCATCCTGGAAGAAAACCATTGTATTCAAAACCCCTAACAATTTACCATATGAATTTCATGCTGCTTACAATTAACAACGCTTCCTTCAAAACACCCTTGATCTGTGTCCAAATATTTTCCTGCTTCGATTCTCCGTCTAGCTCAATATTTTCGTCTTCAAATCGATCCTTTGTCTCGAATGGTGATGGTTTGGTAGTCGACTAGTAGTACAACAACGAATTTTGATCCTTTGTCTTGAATCTTGGTTTGGTGGTAGTAATGGTTTCAATGTATGACCATAGATCTTTCGATGATTCAATTGCCTTTTCATGATTTCATGCAACGTGTGTTTATTTCCCCATGGAGCCAACTAACCAGTAATGATTTCAATCTTCCAGTTAACACACGATGTCAGCCGAGCAATCAATGTGTGGTTGCTCAGCAGTCATCATATATCAACGTCATTATTATATTGGAAGAATGGAATGAGGACTGAGGAGCAGGGATATCTCATTCCTGGCAGATCCCTTCAAACACATCTTCACAATGGAAAATGATGGCTGCAAGAAACTGCCCAGAACGAAAGAACGACTTCAATGCAACCACTGTAGTGAATGTGAAACCATATGAATTTTGTCAGTACATCTTCTTTGCTTTTCCTTTTCATCCATTCCTATATTTCCCAAGCTATTACATGAACTGTTAATTATTTGACAACATTTATACATGTACTAATACAATAGAGTATTATCACAATGACCCATACAAAGTCATGCCAAACATACCTTAGGGAAATACGGTGAAACACTGCAGATGCCTTGGTAATCAAATCGACTACTTTGTTTATACACGTGTTGGTCCTGTACAAGTTGTTTCATGATGTCTCCCTCCTTTCGTCCCAGTGAAACTCTCTGATATTCTCGTTCGTCTGTTATATTGGCCTCCAGAAAGTCTGGATCTGTGACTAAATTTGCCGCATTGTCAACAAGGTAACACCTGAATGAAAAATATATAAAGGGAATACTTACTTAATATTCAGTGTGCCCATAACGGGGAGAACCGCGGTTTTTCTTACTGTACCTCTAAAGATGGTTCTGAATCTACACATGTAAAAACGCACAAGTTGTAGCAATGCTGTTCCAACATCTTGTCAACAGGATGTGCTCGCACTGCTTGTTCCCAGTTTGTTGACAAGTTGTCAGCGGCTTGTTTACAACTTGCTACAAGGTTGTTGAGCTCAACAGACTTGTTACAAGTTGTTGTAACAACGTGTTATCGTCCTGCAATTCAACAATTTGTTAACAAGTTGTGAGTGACAACTTGATAAGATAACAGCATTGTTATAACTTGTTGACAAGCTTGTTGCGAACACATCTTGTTGACGAGTTGTGAGATTTTTTCATGTGTAGTAAGTTATCGTTCGAAATATTTGCATTTGGACAAACGTACCTTGTTTCGCAAGTGTGTACGCCATCAGGACAGGGATATTTATCCCCGCACGACCTCTCGTCTCCACTTGTTCTTAACCGTTCATAAATTCTCTCATGGAAATCAGGATATTTAATATCAAGTGCGACCACGGCTTCCACTCTGTCTC